TCCAACAAAAAAAAGCAATGAATTTAAGGTTCCCTCCATCTATACTTAATATGGTTTCAGGTGGTCAGGAGAAAATTTCTGCACCTAGTGGCGAAGAGTAGGAACTGCTGATGATTGTCCATGCCCTTCAAGACTGTATTATTTTATCAGTATTATTTTTCACTACCAAGATCACAGTAATGTCCACACCACATAATCTCTAAACAAAATCTAATCTCACTTTTATTCAACTCTGTGAAAAAACCTAAAGTTCATATGAATCGCATAAAAACAAGGCCATTTGATTGTGTGTGTGTTTTTTTTCAAACATTTGACATCACTCCCCGACTCCTCATTGGTCCTGACACTCACTATATCTAAACCTTACTGAAGTGCAGATGTGATGCGTTTAAATGCAGCTCGTCTTCACGGGAGCTCATTGTTTCCATTTTGCCTTCGGATACGAGTTACTTTCAAGTCAACGGGGAAAAAGAAGGGGAAAAAAAAAAAAGTAATGGTTTAGAATTGAGCGTGAAGGCCGACCGTGTGTGATCCCAGTTTAATATAATCAAAACTCACAATTGATTTCTTCTCCTTTGTTTCGCCTCGACGCTGAAACGGCAGATTGAAGCCTTTGATAGCAACAACATCTGTTTGTCTGGATGTATATCTGTCAGCAAGGAGAGGGGGGGATTTGGAAGTAATTGTATGTGGCGCAGGAGGGGGGTGGGAGGGGGAGCTTGTGAAGTCTGCCCCAGGTGACAGTTTGGACAAACCCCATGATGCTCTCTGCTGAGAGACTTTCATACTGTGCCGCCCACAAACAAAGGACTAATTAAGGCGAGGCCCTGGACGAGGTCTGAGCCGGTTCTGGGTCGGACGGTGGAATGTGTTGAAGGAAGGGGAGTTTTCTGTGCCGATTAAAATCAGATCAGAAGAACAGACGCGATTGGCTCCGGCTCAGACTTAATGAATGGTCCAATTATATTCCAGACATGCCGATTATACTCTCACAGCGAGGCGCTACAGTGTGAATGGTTCATCTCTGGTTAGATTTTTTTTTTTTTTTACGACGACAGCCTTTGTTGGCGTTTTCAATGCATCGGGCTCAGCCGCGGGAACACAGCACCTACAGGCCGCTTCTAAAAATGTCACATGCTAGCAGCTAAATATAGGAAATAAAGCTCTTTATCCAGCCTGTGCCACGCAGGCCTACATCAAGAGAAAAGATGGATTTGCAAAGTAAACAGGAACATATGGCGTGTGTTAAGATGAGGCAGATTAAGCTTCTTTATGCAGTGCAGGTACAGGGAAGGAACCGGGGTTAGAACCGATCGAGTCCACAGTGTATGCCCACAGATTACAACCTCGGTGTGATCTGTGGGCATACACTCCATACTGAGGACTGTATATACACACTGTATTATGGTAAATGCAAACTGACAGTCATTGGAATTAATTGTAACATAATCGGACACAGTGCTCTACAGACAGGGCAGAACAGGAAGACGGAGAGAAACTAATGTAATCAGGCAGCTTGGCACTGAGCAACCAGTGAGTTTGGAGAGGCTACACACACACACACTCACACACAAACGTCTAGAATGAATGAAAAGAAAATAAGAACATACTGTAGATCAGTGTCTCCCAAACTTTTTTTTCTGGGGACCCATATTTTAAAAGTCACAAACGTTCGCGACCAAAGTCAACAGACATCATTAGTAAACTCCTGGGAAACATGATACGAGGCGAATTAAAAAAAAAAAAAAACTCTTGCGACCTACCTGATAAAACTATATAAAAACATTTGTATTTTGCATAGATTTTGTTTGTTTTCAAAATTACAAGCATGAGAAATATAATATGTACGAAGGTCAGTCAAAAAGTTCAAAACTTTAATAGCATGTCAGTGCACGTGTCTCAGACGTCTCCAACAATTATATTTAGCCCTTAAAAAAAACATACATTTTAATCAACCTAAAATGCACCATTAGTATTCCTGAAGCTTTGCACGGGATTTAATTTGACCTAATTTTTTTTCAATATTTTCTACAAAAAGGTGATAAAAATGTTTGATGATTTTGTGATAATCCAGGTTTGTGATAATCCAGGTTCGAGCTATAACTGCTTATGTAACTGCATCGTGTTTTCAGGACCAACAGACAGACTTTGACTTTGAGCGAATTCCCTTCAAGTTACTGAGAGTCTTTCTTTTTAACCGTTTGTTCCAACTTGGCAGTGACAGCTGTAGAGTGCAGCTCCACAAAGGCAGTGAAACAAACACACGCTGTTGTCCATGTGTCTCCTCGTCCATCTGGACCGTCACGAGTGAAACGTTTCCACGCCAGAGTCTGCCTCGTCTGCTGATCTGTGCTGCGCTTTTGTTGTGTTTTCTGCCATGACACGCTGCCATGTCTGTGCATGTACATGTATGTTTCAATATGTGTCTGTGTTAGGACTAACGACCGAGCACATGTTCCTCAGGCCGGGTGTTATTGAAACAATTTAACATGCAGGGCTCAAGCTGGCAGGAGAAAAGGATGTGATAAAAACAAGAAAGGAAAAAGAAAAGAGAGAAAAAAAGGGGACGACAAGAAATATCAAATGATTTCTTACATCTTTTCTCTTTGAAATAAAAATAAATAAATAAAGTGTGTGTGAAATAGAGAGACTGCAGTTGTAAAAAGTCAACCAAAGCACTGATGTTGAAGACAGAAACGCCATGACAGTGGACAGCAAACTGATCATGAATTATTTATCTTTTTTTTACCTCTTTCAATAGCAGCAAATACACAGTTTAAATGACCGTATTATCCGGACTATAAGTCCCCCCGGAGTGTAAGTTGCACAAGCCAAAAATTGCATAATGAAGAAGAAAAAAACATAAATAAGTCGCTCTGGTTAATCCTCCTATAGAACCAGTTTCTACTGAGCTTTGACTTCACAGTATATCCAGCATTAAATGTGTGTGTGTTGCTGTGTTTGGGTCCAGCTGGTGTGGAGAGTCTGTCGAAGGTGAAAATGTTGAATCACGGCTCTGAGGTGACAACGGCACGGAGAGAAATTTGTGACCTTTCAGTAAAAAGCATCTCGGAAACCAGAACAGCTGTCTGGTTCCATCGAGAGCTTCAAACAAACAACGATGCAAATCAGTGTCAGTCGGCAGCTTAGCTGGGAGAGGGGGGGGAGAGAGAGAGAGAGAGAGAGAGAGAGTGATGGTGCATTTTGTTATTTGTATTTTTCTACCCTAACAAAGCCAGTAAAAGCCCCCCCTCCCCCTGACCCCCCTCCCTCTCGCTGCATGTTTGTTGCATTACAAGTAAGATGAAACACCAAAGCGAGACATGATGCAAGGCCTCTGTCATCTGGTGCTAAATGAAACATTAAGCCCAGATATGTCTTTTTAAAGACAAGAAAAGGCAGACGGTGTATGAAATGATGCTGAACGACTGAAAGAAAACAGGGGGGAGGGTGGGAGGGCGGGGGGAGTCCAAACCCAAACACTCAACATTTTATACTTTAGGTGCTGTCATCTCCTATGGCCAAACAACTCAATCAGCAATCTGTTAGGACATTAAGAAAATGGAACTGCAGTCATTCAATTACCCTGTGATGGGATGTTATCTGCCATTTCTCTGCTTTTATTTAGTGTCAGCACGACATCGCAAATTTAATATTACGCCACAAATTTCCCCATTTGGGACCTGGCTAGTTTTTATCGGGGGTCAAAACTGTTTCCAAAGGTTTGCTTTATTGTTAGTACTCTGTCGTGGAACAAACAGTAAATGGAAACATCTTAGCTCTGCCACGTTGGTGTTGCAGCTCCTATTGTGGAGCCCGTGGACTGTAAATGGCGCTCTGTAGGAGCGGCTGCCGTACAGATAGATTGTGCGTGTCACTGCTGATCTACGCGGAATGGCTGGCCATTACAGAAATGATCTCATGCCGCATACAAATGCACATTATATAAGCAGAGTGCAGGTGGACAACGGCAGGAGATAGATATTTGATGGAGACAAGTAGTGCATATCGGTTATAGGCACGAAGATGGATGACAAGGTGGACTGAGGCAGGAGGCCTGCAAATACACACACACACACACACAATGCACAAAACAATCGACATGCGGGACACACCCATGCATGTGCACGTCCACTCACGCACATCGTACACACATGGAGTCCCCGAGCAGATAAAGCTGTCAGGTAAATTAATATCTGTGCGCTGCACTGCTTTGGGCCAAAGCCTTCGCCGTAAACACATCACTCACACTGTAGCCAGTCGGCCAAAGGATCAACTCAAGATTTGGGCTGGGGTGGGGAGGGAGTGGGGGGGGTCGTGGGGAGTGTGGGTAAACTGTTAAGTAACACTTGAGCAGCAAAGGTAGTGATATAGAACAACAGTTTTCTTTAGAGCTGCACCTCTGGACACGAGGACCACTTTATCAACGCCTAAACATGTGATGTGCATTCACTTCACGGCAGACTAGAGCGTCACGACTGGAGGCAGGGGTCTCCACACTGTCTTCAAAGAGAGGGCAGATTTGATGTGAAGTGTGTGAAGGACGACCATTCTGCCCGACGTTCTTTGAACCAATGAAACTAAATGAAAACGAACATTTTGTGTCAATTTATGACAAAGGCTACGGGCTGTATATAATTTAACCACGGACGCAAATGGGCCCCGGGCCGGACTTTGGACATGACTGACTTAAAAATAAACAGAAAAATCTAATATATAGATTATATATAGCACACATATATACTGTATATACATATACATATATTTATATGTAAATATATAAAATATAAAATATAAATCAAAAATTTTAAAAAAAGGTACATTTAGAGCAAATAAAAATGTGTGTTCTTTTTTGTAAGAAATAACAGAAAATCTAATTTGAATGAATATATTTTTAAAAGAAATCATGAGTCATTACATAAAATATAAAACCTAAATCAAAAATTGAAAAAAAATCAAAAACATTGCGCACAGGCCCAAACAAATTCAAGTGTATCTTTTATTGCATTTGCTGTAATGTTTGTTTTAACTGTTCAAAATAAAGGAGACATTCCAACGGTCAAAAAGAATCAGACGGTAGAAATGCAGGGCGAAAAAGTGGCCCACGTTCATCGAAGGGAAGGAATGTCAGGATGGGAACAGACCAAAGGGCTCGGGGTCCGGGAGCGTTTTGTCAAATCACAAAGACCTGGACCATGGCTGAGTGAGAGGTGGTGATGGATGGAGGCAGTACCCAGGAGAAAGGGCACAGAGGGGACAAGCCCAGAAGGGCAGGTGATGAGTGAACCTTGGCTGGAGTGAAATAAATAAAGTGGATGAATTATCAAGGGAGAGGGTAAAGAAAACGACGGTTAAGAGAGGAGGGCCGGACATCAAACAGGAGTGAGACTGGGGGGACCGAGACAGAGTCGGAATAAGAATGAGAGAGTCTGGGGACGTTAGACAGATTGCAGGTTCGCTACTCGGAGCCGAGAGAGAGAGAGATGTTGGATATCACAACCTTTTTAGCAGCAGATGCACGGAGACGAGCTGGAAGAAAGAGAGATAATTGAATAAAACAGGAACAGCCTTTGTTGTCTCATTCTTTACAGCTTCTTTGTGAGCCTGATTACTCAATCCTCCAGACCAGCGGGAATTAGTTTGCTGGGCTTTCTGCAGAGCTAAGTACACGCAGGCCTGCCATATGTCTTAACGTAATACAGAGCACCGGGATCAAGGTACAATATAACTGAGACAGAAGATACATTTTACAGCTAATACTGGGATCGAATCAAAGTCTCGCAGAGAGGAGGGGGAGAGAGAGGAGGGGGAGAGGGGAGCGAGGGAGATCAATGAAGTGATTTGGGGCCGAACAGTGGCTCCATCTCATCCAACTTTTATTAGAGAGTGGAGGAGGAATGAAAACCAGGAATGGCGCTTCAGCCATTTGAGCTTTATGGGCTCTTGCCTTCCTCGTATGGAGTCTTGACATTTGGAAAAGACGAAGCTGGAGAAACGGCTAGCCATGGTTTTTAGACGACGGGATGAAAACATGAAAAAAAAAAGGTTTGGAATTAAAAATAGTCTTTAAATTAAGAGGCAGGGGATGTCCTGTCGGGGGCGCTGCCAGGTATTGTGGGCCACATGGAAGGATATGACAATGGACATAAGAACACTTAAGAACATGAATATATTTTAGTACAATGTACAACAATAAAATGACCTTCAGACTGACCTTCACCTGGGTCACCACACTGAAAGTCCTCAGACCTTACTCAGAGGTCAGTTAATATAATAATATCAATATAATATGGACTGTGTATATTTGTATCCTCAAATATCCATTCAGGCCAAGTATGTTTTGTGAATATGAGTTTCACAAAAACAACAAACTGCATGTTATTTTGATCACCGTTTTAAACGGACCATCAAAAGTCTATTACCTTTCATATTTTTGTTTTTTATTTGGTTTGTTTACATAGATTTATCTTTTTTCTTTCTTCAGCACAAAAAAACAAACTACATTCTTATTTGATGTTTTCATTTGACTTTTTGTCAGTGTTCAAACAAAACACTGGACCAAAAACGTAATCACCGTCTGCCCACAACCATCAGAGACACCTGTGTGACAGCGATTTAGGGTGGATTAAATAGAACTGACCCGTGGTCAGTTATTCCACATAATGCCTGTTTGAAATTGTATTTTCATTTTTCAAATCCGTTGCAGATCCATTTACGAGGGGAATGCGGGGGGGATTCAAGGTTATCGCCGCACAATTTTGTTTTCCTCCTGTTAAATTTCTATTCTTTGACCTTTGATACTTGCCGGGCTTTAAAAATAACCAAATCACAAACTGAAAAGCACAAAATGTTCCTGAGAATCAGCAGATGATGCTGAGCAGACTTTAGTACGACACCCTCCTGGCACCGGCCACCCACTGACTGGACGTGTGAAAAGACGTGAACGCAGCTAAAGTACTGAATAAAATATGTGATGTCAGACTCACGATCCCTGCATGAATCCTTTCTACCACGTCCTGATGCGGCCAAGTCTGGTCCCAGCCACGATAGCAGGTCTGCTTAGTGTATCACCTCCCATCTCCCAAGACTCATCTGTAAACACAGAGATTGCATCACATTCTCCTCCACATCCCTGAAATAGTCCAGCGACCGAGTTCAGCAACATTTCAAGAACCCTGCACTCAACGTCTCTCAGCTCTCTCTCCCTCTCCCTCTCTCCTCCCTCCATCTTTCTCATGCTTCACCCAGGACATCCGGACGAGCCCTCTTTAAATCCTCAAGGCCCTTTCCCTCTTTTCATCTTTGTGTTCTCCTGCTGTAGTGGACTGGGAGCTGACAGCTGATAAACGGCCAGTCTGTTTCTGGTTCTCGAAAAAGTAAAGAAGAAGAAAAAAAACGGAGAGGAGGGGGGGGGGGGGGGGGGGGGGGGGGGGGGGGGGTGACTGGACTATTGTGCGTTTAAGTGGTTTGTTTTTTCCCTCCTTTCTTTGTACTTCGCTCCAGATTTTGTCCTCTTTAATGTGTTCACAAAAAGAGAAAACAGACAACTTGAGAGACTTCATTAGCCAAAGCTGCAGGTCGCAGCTGGCACGTTTGGACCAATCAGAAGGAACCCGTTAAGTTCAGGACTCAAAGTCCTGAATGGACTTTGGAATGGTTTTAATGACTGCAGTCAAAATGGTCATCCAGTTTGGGCCAGTCATTCTGTCCAGAATATATATATATATGTCCTTCAAATACAGGAAAAAAAAACACTTCTCTTCAGAGAATCGTAGTGTTTTTAATCCACTCTGGGAAAAGTCTGAATCCACGACTGAATGATAATTTATTCAAATCCAAGGTCTTCTTCTCCAAACATCATCAGTTTACAACAGCATTGGTTCATATCTGGCCTTTTCTGAAAAACATCTTCAGACTATAGGACACAGTACTGCATACATTTAATGTCGCTGTGTCTGTCAGAGTCACACATTAACATACATTATCCCCACTCAGGTGCATAATTACGTGTTTGTACTGAAGGTGACCAATAAAAGGAAAGTGGTATCAAATTCCTATTTTTAATTTTTTTTTAGGTCGAACTGTTTATCAAGGGAAAACACTTTAGAATAAAAAAACAAATAATGTTACTGTAATTTTAAACTTTTTAACTACATTAATTAAAGAATGTGGGAAAAGGGTGTTGTAGCATAAAGAAGAAACTAAAGTCTCTTACAGGTAAAGTCCAAGTGGCAGAGAACGGTCCAGAAGTGCTGCAGTGTAAAAGTCCAAGTGGCAGAGAACGGTCCAGTGCTGCAGTGTGTTTGACATTAGCCGCCCTGCAATAATGGACAAACAAGAGACTAAATAAAAACACACACAAAAAAACAACAGTTAATATATGGGTGAAAAACAAGAAAATGAATTTCTACCTTTTTACATAAACCTTAGAGCAGGGACATCAACAGTCAGGGAGGGAACGCTCACAGGTTTGTCTGTTTTGTAGCACAGGTGCCTGACGAATGATGCATTCAAGAAAACTGGGAAATCCCAAATTTCCCTAGCGTTAAAGGTTCTATCAGTGATGTTGGTGCAAATAGTATTTTCCAAACTTTACTGAGGCAACACACATCGACGTATACAGAGAAATCAAATAAAAATAAATAATAAATGTAGTAAATTTAATGATTAAATTGATTAAAAATATATTTGCATAAATGCCACATCACTAGTTCATTCTTTCATGGAATGTTATAAAGGAGGGGGTCTAAAGATGAGTTAGCTTGGCCAATATATTTGAGCTGTGTTTTAGATGCAAATAGAGGAGACCGTGATGCACAGTTTCCTTCTCTCTGACAGGAAGTTGAATTTGAAAGAAGTTTTTCAAACAATCCAAATTTTACCTCATCAAAGTCGGCCATGTTTTTTTTTATTATTATTTACGTACACCTTGAGTGGCTTCAGCTAACACCTCGTACACTCCCAGCGGAAGAGGTCGGAAATCCCAGCTTTCTGGACTGCACACAAACAGTAAGGCCGCAGTCAACAAAGTGGGCCACACACCACACCACAGGCTCAACAGTCGCACCTTTGAACCCACTTTAAGATTGTATCTGGTTCCACACGTAAATGAACGTTAGCTCTGTGGGCTAGCGGTGGCCACTAAGGATTTTTACTCTACTTTGCATTTAGTGTCTCACCAGTGTTTCCTAAATCAATGGAAAATCCTTGAGCAGCAACATTGTAAAAGACCCTGAGGCACGGAGCCGTTCGGAATTCATCACAGCACCTTTCAAAGGCTTTAGATTTGCATTTTCTGCAAGCTTATGAGTTTGACCCTCCATCCTTTCATCTCTGCGCGAGGGTCCCCGGCTACTGGCAAATAAACAATTACACAACACAACAGCAAGAGCTGTCCGAGGGGAAAACCTCCATCAGATTAATGTTAAGGTGTCAGATTTTCCTCGACCCGTTGTCCTTGGCCTCTCACTGTTGAAATGCAGGTGGAGTGGAGGACTGCAGAGTCAGCAATCAGCACTCGCTGGTAAACAAAAGCAGGAGGGGGAAAGTGAAGGAGACAGAGTGCTGATGGAAAGCGGGGAGAAGGGAGGAAATCACAGACGGACCAGAATTCAAAATTGAGCTGAGGGGGAAAGGAGAAAAAGAAGGGAGGGTGGGAGTCCAGTGGGTGAGAGAGAGAGAGAGAGAGACATAAAAGAAGCTTAAACGTATGAAGTGAATGGATGAGAATGTGTTTATTGCCAGAGTTAATGGTTTAATTTTAATTAAAAACATGATGCAGATTATCACGGTTAATCAAGATAAATCAAAATGACTAAATATGTGTTGATTTTTTCTTCTTTTTTTCCATTATATCAAAGTATCAGTTCTTTTATGTAATATTTAATATGGCTGAGACTGTAGACCATCTATAAGTAATGGATCAAACTTTCTCTGTTTGCGACTTTGGCTAACTTGTTTTTATATAAAGTAAGTCTCTTCTGGAGAACCTGAGTTTTAGTTTTTATTCTACTGTAAATGATATCAGTTTTGAAACTCAAATGTTTGTTAGAGGACGCTTCAGCTGATTGACACCTAAAATGTCTAACAGTCGACTGGACATGTGGGGGATGAGGTGATGTTGGCAGGTATCACCATGACAACCCTCACTCAGTGCTGCAGCATGTTCGTGAGGTCATGTTCGTGAGGTCAAAGTCAAGGTCACAGGGTCAATGCTGCAGCTGTAGCTGTGACCAAACAACTGCACAGCATACAGAATAGAAAAGAACTGGCAGATGGCAGTTGAGCTCTTCGTCGCTACCTGCTGGTAGTGGGCTTTACTGCATGCACTTACCTAATGCTTTTGTTTGTTTTTTTTACTTTTTGTAATAAGATTTGTGCGATGTCAAAATACTCTTCTCGCAAGCCAATTTTTACTTTTTGTAATAAGATTTGTGCAATGTCAAAATACTCTCCTCGCAAGCCAAAAAAAGGTTGGGAACCATTGCACTTACAACTCTTCCACTTGTGGCCCAGAATCAATATTTTCCAGACATATTGTGGAAAAAGGCTGGCTCCCATGCTAACATCTCAAACATGTGAGAAACAGCAACTGTGAATATCATCACCTTCATCATCATCGTCGTCTGACTGACTGTACTTTCCAGCCAAGAAATCAAAGTGTTACCTTCAAAGTACAGTTGTATGAAACTGATAATAATAACTGGGGAAACAGTCCGTGTCCTGGTGCCAATAGTCCGACTACATTAGCTTTTCAAATATCAGTTCAAACTGATTTGTCCTCCCTCGGCCTCTCTGCTCTTACACTTCAAGGACCTCAAGCACAACAAGGTGTGGCGTTCATCTGTCAGTCAATATCAGAGGTTAGGATCTCCACATCAACTAAATTATTCCAAAAGCACCAACAATGGCTGACGTGAGCAGTCAGTTATTCCTCAAAACCTTTTCCTCCTCACTGAGTCCATGCGACGTAGTTTTCATTGTTCACTGCTCCCCGGCTCCACGCCAGCCCAAGGTGAAAAATCTACTTTCACTTCAGAGTCGATTAATCAAAGCACCAGCTCTTTTACTACTTTATGAAATGGAAAAGCTTCATATGCTGAGAACGGACATCATTCAGTGAATCAGTCAAAGGCTAACTCTGGAGTTATCAATATTGTGCACAGATCTGCTCGGAGGGTTTGTTTTAAACGAGGCAAAGTAAGCATTTCTCAAAGTCTGTGAGGGCCCTGAAGCCAGACCACCTCGAAGTGACCCTCAGTGGATGCAGACAAGTCTTTTACTACTGTCGGCACATAAAAATAAATATTCTTTGTGCTCTCTCAGAATTGAGTGTTCAGGATGAAAGATTTAAGGTGTTTTTCACTCCAGCGCCTGCGTCTCGGAGTCAAACGTCTGCCTCCTTGATCTTTCCCTCACTGCTTCGCAGGCTCTTTTTTATTGCTTCTGCTAATTGTTTCCCATAGGTTATTTGCTCAGAGACGTTCATGCTTAAAACCACTCTCTCTTCATCTTTATTCATTGGCTCCTTCACTATCTGTTTGCCTCAGGAAGCAGTGAATATCTCCAGATAAAGGCATTTTCTACTTAAAAGTTGCAGTATAATTTAGGGATTAAAGAAACATGGTTTTCACCTGAAAGACCTCAAATGATGTCTTTTAGAATGCCGTGTCTAAATCGGTTTCAGCTGAAAATCCCTGAAAATGGGCCTACACTTCTGAGAATCCACTTACAGTAAAACTTCTGTCGTACTGCAGTTCAAAAATGTGCAGCCAGTTCAACAACTTATAGTAAAAAAAAAATTTTAAAAAATGCAGGACTAGATACAAAAATATCTGGACAAAGACTGCTTCGGACTAGATACAAAAATATCTGGACAAAGGCTGCTTCTAGAGCATTGTTTCCCAAAGACTGGGCCGCAACCCTCAGGTGGGTCGCAAGAGATTTTTTTGGGGTCGTCTCGCATCAGGAGTTAACGAATAATGTCTATTGACTTGGGTCGTGAATGGTTGTGGCTTTTAAAATATGGGTCCTCAGAAAAAAAAGTAAAATGCTATAGCAATCACAAAGTCTGGAAGGTAGAAGCACCGCTCCTCTCTCTCCTAACTCCGTGTCCTTTCCAGTTCAGCACACAAACAACAAACGGATGCAGGTACTGGTGTCGTGAGTGTGGAGCCTCCATCCATCTACATCATAATGCCTATCCTACAGCGGAGGTCACCATCCAATCAAGAAGCCATGTCGTAGAACTAAAGGTCAGAGGCCTGAGTCAGGTTTAAGTTGACCCATAAAAGCTGTGGCCGTTTCCCCGAGAGGAATACTTCTCCATCTTAAATGTTTTTATTTTATAACCCACCGGAGACACTGGAGTACAATCCATTCCATCTCAGATCTCGTAGATCTCATTCAGCCGTCAAACTGCTGTCTCCTGGCCGCTGTATTTACGCTCATGTAATTACTGAGATCAGATGACAAGTCGCTGACAGATGGCAGATAGATGGCCAGTGCCCTTGAGTCTGGACTGCGTCCCGGCGGCCCGTTCATCAGGAATATAATATGGAAGGTGGATGGCACGGAGGAGCCACCCATAAAGACTCTGCACTCAAGGACTCCAGGGCGCCTTGGACAGGGAAGCATCTGGATTTCAAAGAGGTCCCTTAAAAAAACCCGGGTGTTTTCTGCACACTCAGTACAAAAGAAAAACACAAGTTTGGACTCAAAATATTTTATCCTGCTGTGAGCGCCGTAAATAAATCGCTACATAAGTATCTTCGACAGCGACTTCTGCTCCTCTGAGAGCAGTTTAGTTCAAGCTTGTTGGCTGAGGAAAATGGAGGACTTCTCAGATGTTGCCGCCATAAATCTGCAGTATGCTTTTCATTCTCTGGAGAGTTTCGGGGACAGCCACAGTGTTTTGTCATCAGTTCCTTAAATCCTTTTTTTCCTGCTCTCTCAGCGGCCGTGTAACACCGCACGGGTTTATGAAGTAAGTGAAATATGTAGCACCGTAACCAAAACGCGCGCGGCGATAAAGGCTCTTATCGCTCACATTAAAAAAGGGGGAATTTCGAGCTCGCAAATTAATTTGCGCCATTTTATGAGAGAATCGTTTTAAGAGTTTTAACTTTCCAATCACTGTCAGGCTTTGACGATGCAACACACTCGACAATCACCAACCCCGTTTCATTGCAGGAACTAGGTCATAAACCCGTCATGATTCTGTCAGTGCGATATTATTACAGCTGCTGCAGCCGTTCGCAGCA